ATTGACCTAATGACTTGAGCTAATAACTTGACCTAATGACTTGACCTAATGACTTGAGCTAATAACTTGACCCAATAATTTGAGATAATAATTTGAGATAATAACTTGACCTAATGACTTGAGCTGATAACTTGACCTAATAACTTGAGCCTGTTTTGTTAAACAACAGCTTTGTTTTGGGCTTTAAATAAAAAAGAAGGGATTTAGCTTTCAATTGCTGCTGGTGACACATTAACAAGTATGAATACTTATAACGCTAAAAGTCGGGTTTCAGTATTGCTACTGGTGACACATTAACAAGTATGAATACTTATAACGCTAAAAGTCGGGTTTCAGTATTGCTACTGGTGACACATTAACAAGTATGAATACTTATAACGCTAAAAGTCGGGTTTCAGTATTGCTACTGGTGACACATTAACAAGTATGAATACTTATAACGCTAAAAGTCGGGTTTCAGTATTGCTACTGGTGACACATTAACAAGTATGAATGCTTATAACGCTAAAAGTCGGGTTTCAGTATTGCTACTGGTGACACATTAACAAGTATGAATACTTATTACGCTAAAAGTCGGGTTTCAGTACTCGTTATTGAAAGAGAACAGATAATCTACTGTTTACTTATCAAGAAACAAATAAGCAACAGTTTTCACTGTTCGTTATTCTCCAGCGCCCCTTAAAATATCTAAATAAATAAACGTCAATATTTGTGTATGTGTATCTGTTCCTTATACGTTTCCACACTTCTTGGTCAATTAACACTAAACTTGACACAATGATACAGGATGACATAGGAAAGGGCATGGGGGTTGTACCCCCTCTACTTTCACATCCAATTTCGGATGTTGTATACCCCTCAGCATTAGAATGAACTATGTAACCACTATTGTTAGAATTATTGAAAACAGTACGTCTTTCTCTTCAGTATTGGTACCTTTATGTATTTTTATTACACTTTTACTGTTTATTGTGTTAAGAAACAAGCTAGAAACACAATTTCCTATCATATGTTACAAACGAGTTTATATTCCACCCGTTCAACGGGTACTCCAGCTACTATATATATATAATATAATTGTTTTCTCTGCTTTTATCTTCTATATAAATCTACTTATGGTTTCTGTTTCCATTTATACTCCTTTCTAAAGATATGTTAAGAATATTGCTTTAATAACGACATCGTTTTTATATGTGGATTTTGGAAATTTACTTCTCAAATTTTGAATGTGATCTTAAATTTAGAAAATGCTCTATAAAATAGAAACGCATGTGTCAATCAAGTCTTTGCCCAATTAAAAAAACCGTTTCATATTCACTACAAACATACTGACTTAATTAGTTAACCTGCCGATATAATTACAGATGAATTTACTGCCTTTTTAATAATTCAAATATTCACTACAAACATACTGACTTAATTAGTTAACCTGCCGATATAATTACAGATTAATTTACTGTCTTTTTAATAATTCAAATATTCACTACAAAGATACTGACTTAATTAGTTAACCTACCGATATAATTACAGATTAATTTACCAACTTTAATATTTTAAATATTATTCACTTATTTTTGCTGAGCTTTTTCTTTTGTTCTTAAGCACGAAGCTACACAATAACCAATCTGTGTTGTGTCCACCTCGGGTATCGAAACCTGTTTTTTTTGCGTTATAAGCCTTCTGACTTATCGCCGATTCACTTGGGAAGAGGAGACTTTTTGCTAAGAAACCTTGACTTAAACAAAGATATTTTAATATTACCCAAAATTTACCTTATTTGACCTAATGACCTAGAAAATGACCTTAAAGGCCAAATGGCAAGGAAGCATTCACCCATCATTTGTGAAGTTGATCTATGATGGTTGTCTGCTTTTAACAAAACTCTCCATCAAAACCATTTTGATTCACCTTTTTCCTGGTTGATAAATCTTCTGTGGTGATTTCCGTTCAGAATGAAGATGTTATCATGGATATAGCACACTTGTATTACGAAACGTTTTATCAAGCTTAATGTGGTCCTCCAATTTAATGTAGAGGTTGTAGCAGGTCTCTCATCATTCTGGCGGTATTGGATAACTTAGTAAGGGCTGAACATCAGTATTAAAAATAAACTATATCATGGATATAGCACACTTGTATTACGAAACGTTTTATCAAGCTTAATGTGGTCCTCCAATTTAATGTAGAGGTTGTAGCAGGCCTCTCATCATTCTGGGAGTATTGGACAACTTAGTAAGGGCTGAACATCAGTATTAAAAATACATCCTCTAGTTGATAAATATATCCAAACAAAAACTTATTGATACAGGGTTGGCCTTGTGATAGAGCTCTGAATCTCGGTGGTTGTGTACTGTGTAATACCAGAAAATAGTCTCCGTATTTTAAAGCTGTGGGTGCGTTATAAGAGTTACAGTCAATCCCTCAACACAGATTGTGGGTGCTTCTGACTAGCCGCCTTCACTCTCGTTGGTAGTTCAAAATTAGGGACGGCAGCAGATAGCCTTAGTAACTTTGCTATAGATACAAAATAGAAATTCTTTATATAAACATCGGTGAGCAGACAGATATATATGAGTTTGTATGTATGATAGAGGAGATTAGTTTCACGAGTAAGTTTTTCTTTGTGTTTAAAATTAAATCTAAACCTATACTATTTACTAACAATGAAATCGACAAGATTTTGTTTGTTTGTTTGTTTTTCTTGCAAGATATATTACCAAGATTAAATGTTCTTATTTCTATTAATAAAATTTGCTCAGTTTCGGTTATAATTATCAAATAATATTTAAACATAGTTTAATAGACGAGTTTTTAACTTTTTTTTTATCATATTTCCACGTGACTTAATCTTGACATAAGTATTCTACTCTCTTAAGCCCCCTCAAGTAAAATCATATCAAATAGATTTTATCTATTTTTTACAAATGCCCCCCAGTAGCACAGCGGCATGTCTGCGGACTTACAACGCTAGAATCCGGGTTTCGATACCCGTGGTGGGCAGAGCACAGATAGCCCATTGTGTAGCTTTGTGCTTATCTTCAAAAACAATAACAACAACAACAACATCAAATACAAATTTTTAACTCATAGCTCCATATCTTGACCGATTTGAAATCTAATTACAGCCGCGGCTATTGAAGATTCCCTCTTGTTCCTGAAAAATCAACCCATTATAAATGAAATTATTCTGGTAAGACTTTTTATTTTAATCGTCGATTATTTTACGCTTGCTTATTTGTTTTGGGGGCACGTTGTGTTCAACGGGGGAATCGAATCCCGGATTTTAGTTTTGTAAGTCCGTAAACTTGCCGCTTTATTTCATGCAAAAAAAAACAACAAATATTAGGACCACTTATACCTGTGGACATTACTCATCGCTAAACTCGTTGTTTAACCTGTAAATTACCGGGGGGGGTGGGGGAGATTAGAGGGGTATCTATATGGATCCCATCTGCTATGTAAACACATTTCTTAAAACTATTTATCCTTACTGGGTCATCCACGCAAAAAATTAAATATCGCCAATGTAATTATGCTCGCTAATTACTGTTGGTGTTTCCTGTGTATTCTATGAGTGACTTCCCCAAATTTTTTATCAGTTCTTTAGATTGGACGTGAACGAAGGAAAACTTAATATGATGTAATATGCAGGTTCAACTCAAAATGTGATCAGACTTAGACCCACGGACAAAACAAGATCAAAATGTAACCTTCTAAAAACCCCTCACATAAACATTTAGTTACATAAAAGCAGTGCTTCTTTCTGTGTAAGCTGACCTAAACATTCAGTTAATTAGCTACCTGTGGTGTATAAAGAAATGTGTTATAAACATATCTGCGTGTATTATGCTCATATGTCATAGTTCATTACATATAAAAAATTACAGAACGCTCTTGAGAATGTATATAAGAAAACTGTCATTAGATTCAACTGTAATAACACCAATCTGGTGTGATAAACGATGTTTGAGCTTCTCTACGTTACAAGTTATCTGTTTATACACAGGTTAGCGTGAAGATAAGGCTGTCAATGTATATAAGAAAACTGTCATTAGATTCAACTGTAATAACACCAATCTGGTGTGATAACCGATGTTTGAGCTTCTCTACGTTACAAGTTATCTGTTTATACACAAGTTAGCATGAAGATAAGGCTGTCAATCAAATCTTTGAATTAAATCGCCTCTATTTGCTGCTTTATCCGTAGACAAGTTTTCTGGTGAATAAACCATCAGAAAAAAAATGGTTTACATATTTCCATCTGACGAAGGAAAAACAACAATAAAACGTGATGTTTTCGTTTTTGTTCTAGTCACCGAGAGGGGAGATCGATATGGGGAACAAGTCTTCATCGCTAGGTGGCCACCACGAAACCAGTGCTTCAGCTGAGGTATGTATTTACACGAATAAGATATTTAAACAAGTTATTAATACTTGTGTATTATGAATAAGGTAGGCGTTCTCACAATTAAGATATTTAAACAGGTAATTAATATTTATGTATTATTAATGAGTTACGTATTTTCACGATTAAGATATTTAAACAGGTAATTAATATTTATGTATTGTTAATGAGTTACGTATTTTCACGATTAAAATACTTAAACAGCTAATTAATATTTATGTATTATTAATGAGTTACGTAGTTTCACGATTAAGATATTTAAACAATTAATTAATATTTATGTATTATTAATGAGTTATATTTTCACGATTAAAATACTTAAACAGCTAATTAATATTTATGTATTATTAATGAGTTACGTAGTTTCACGATTAAGATATTTAAATAGGTAATTAATATTAGTGTTTGTAACTGAAAACGGTATCCTGTTCAACAGATCCAACACAATGCAGGCAAACAAAAAATCTAGCTTATTTCTAAAGTATGTTAGATAATAATAATGTCGTATTTAGGTCAGGAGTGGCCTAGTGATTAAGTGCCAGGGTGATCCGCGATTCCTCCGTACACATTATTGCCTTCTCTCTAATCTGTCATTTCTAGATTAGGGATGATTATGGTCCTTCCCTCTAATCTGTCATTTCTAAATTAGGGATGATTATGGTCCTTCCCTCTAATCTGTCATTTCTAAATTAGGGATGATTATTGCCTTCCCTCTAATCTGTCATTTCTAAATTAGGGATGATTATTGCCTTCCCTCTAATCTGTCGTTTTTAAATTAGGGATGATTATTGCCTTCCCTCTAATCTGTCGTTTCTAAATTAGGGATGATTATTGCCTTCCCTCTAATCTGTCGTTTCTAAATTAGGGATGATTATTGCCTTCCCTCTAATCTGTCGTTTCTAAATTAGGGATGATTATTGCCTTCCCTCTAATCTGTCGTTTCTAAATTAAGGATGATAAGTGCAAATACCCGTCGAAATAGCTTTATGCGAAATTTGACAAATAAACGTCTCTCAGTGAAAATTATATAAACTTAATATCTGAACAAAGAGCACGAGATTTAGTGGTTATACAACCATGACGTTGTTTATATGAAAATTAGCAACTTTAACATAGTATTTTTACTAAAGTGTAATACTTTTTCTTTACAGAAATCTTCCCCAGTTAAGTCACGTTTTCTTAAAAAGTCACGATCTCTCGACTTGGGAGACTCGCCTAGCGGCGAAGAAGGACAAAATGTACAGCTTCCAGGGCAAGTAAAAGCTAGAGAGCGCTACACAAACTCCCCAATAACAGTGTCACTTTCATCTCCTGAAACACTTGACGAAAAGGTAATATGGTTCAATTAGATATTTGAAAACAACAAAAGTTGACTATTTACCACTATTTCTTTGTTGTTTTTGCCTTGTTTCTATGTCCTGGAAATGTTGTGTTGTAGAACGTTACAATGTACGATACATAACTAGCTTGTTTGTTTGAAATGTTGTGTTGTAGAACGTTACAATGTACGATACATAACTAGCTTGTTTGTTTGAAATGTTGTGTTATAAAACGTTACAATGTACGATACATAACTAGCTTGTTTGTTTGAAATGTTGTGTTATAGACTCGCAATCTGAGGGTCGCAGGTTCGAATCCCCGTCACACCAAACGTGCTCGCCCTTTCAGCCGTGGGGGCGTTATAACGTGACGGTCAATCCCACTATTCGTTGGTAAAAGAGTAGCCCAAGAGTTGGCGGTGGGTGGTGATTCAAAACAAACAAACAGTAGATACATTTTCTCAGAATCTATATTTCTATTTTTATATAGGGGTAAAAGTTATATATTTTTTTTCTTCTATTAACTGGAGAATACAAAAAGACAACGCTGACACTGGTAATTAATTATTCAGCTCTGACTATACTTTCTGCGATCCTGTTCGTATTTCGCTTGTTGATTCTAATTGGAGTGAATAACATTAAAGTTATTAATTTATTAATCCACATTAGTTTTGTTTTAATATTAATTCGAAATTTAAAAATCTATTGACTTTATCTTGCCGAAACGTATTTTTTATTCTTTAAGCATGTTTGTTAACTTACAGGTACTTGAAATATGTGATAGAATTTGTAGTCTTAATCAGGTATGAAAACATTGTAGAATAACATTAAAGCTGAAATTGGGGTTGTTGAGCTTATATTCGTTTTGAAGTATCAGCATTCTGGTGAAAGTTTAATCAGGGTATTACTTTCTTAAGAGCATTAATACTAAAAATAATAAAGCAGTGATATGGCTTGTAATGAGACAGTGATGTAGTATTGGTTTAGTGTTTTCTTATCAATTGTATTGGATTCTATTGGCAGGAAAACCATGTTGGCAGCTCAGAGGATATGAAAAAACTCCAGCTCCAGAAGACATCTTCTGGGAGATCTTTTCTGAGCACGGAACAAAAGGATCCTTCAGATGAAGATCCAGACGTCCAGTTGTGCAGTGACAGCAGTGGCTATTCTCAGTACAATACTTTTACTTTCCAGTCTTCACTCGACTGCGACGAGCCTAACCTCGTACGTGAGAAGGCTATTGAACAAAGAAGGTCTGTGTTTCCAATAAATATCTCGTTGTTCTTGAGCATTGATCAATGTACTGAGAAAAAAAAAACATTTTCAACCATACAACGTTTTTGAACAAATAAAACTAAAAGGGTCAACAAACTGATCATAAAGTTAATTTATTATGTTTTGTCTCTTTTTAAAATTAGTAAAGGGCTTAAAATACTTTACGAAAATCTTATTGTGATTTTTAATGCAAGTTCAATGCGTTGACCAATAAATATAATTGAAGCTAGATTACGACCTCATTTTTTTTTCGTCAGAAAATTAGAAATTTAATTAGAAATAAAAATTTTGTTTTGGTGACAAGTTGGAAAAAAAAAAGAGAGGCGTTTAAGTTATTATAAAATTATAGATTAAATTATATTGTTGCTTCTATTGAGTTTAACATGATCTCATGAACAAAACCTAAAGATCTAAGTAGTTTACCATCAATAAATCAAGATTAGAAGAATAATCTAACATTTTCATACTTCACAAAGGAAAGTCAACAATGTGTCATTTAGCTTCAAAATGTGTTCCTAATGATCATATTAATCTGTTACAACCTGAATATTTCACATTAAACTGAAATAATACCAGAAATAGGGTAAAGTAAGAATTTCTTGTGAACTCTCGTACCCAGAGTTAAGGCAATATCATGATGGTGGGGGACATAAGCCTAAATATATCACAAGAAACCGATATGATATTTAGAAACACTTTAATGTAAGAACTTCTTGTGAACTCTCGTACCCAGAGTTAAGGCAAGATCATGATGTTGGGGGACATAAGCCTAAATATATCACACGAAACCGATATGATATTTAGAAACACTTTATTGTAAGAGCTTCTTGTGAATTCTCGTACCCAGAGTTAAGGCGTGATCATGGCACTGGGGACATCAATATCTTTCGATGCTTGACTCCACCCAATTGATGTACGGGCTAATTACATTGAAAATCCTCATAAGTCTGGAACTCTCGAACTAATGTTTGTTTCATCGATCCCAATGTCTCTTAATCAGTCTTCTTTCAAACATCAAATTAAGAGCACTTTATAGCGATCTATTTTTTATATAATTTAATTTTTTATTTCATAAGTTTAAGAAAAAGTCGTTGTACAGAATTTTAGAAGTTCAGGGTCACAGGTCAAACACAGGAAGCGACGTTTTCGTGAACAAAATTTTATGACTGCAGCCATCATGCAAGTTGCATGACAGGAAACAGGTTGGTTATAGAACTTATTAACAACCAACTATAAACGAAAGAACATAAGGAACTTGGTCTCTTTCACTCAGGTTTGCCATTCAAGAACTTGTGGACACAGAGCAAGATTACGTAAAGGATCTTGGGAGTATAGTGGAGGTTTGTGATTTCGTTTGCTTGCCATTATACATCTTATGTTTTTAAATACTGACACTTCTCTAAGTTTGTTTGTTTTTGAATTTCGCGCAAAGCTACACGAGGGCTATCTGCGCTAGCCGTCCCTAATTTAGCAGTGTAAGACTAGAGCTAGTCATCACCACCCACCGCCAACTCTTGGGCTACTCTTTAACCAACGAATAGTGGGATTGACCGTCACATTATAACGCCCCCACGGCTGAAAGGGCGAGCATGTTTGGTGTGACAGGGATTCGAACCCGCGACCCTCAGATTGCGAGTCGAGTGCCTTAACCACCTGGCCATGCCGGGCCACTTCTCTAAGTATATGTTCGAATAATCGAAATTGGTTATGACCCTCAAAATTAAATAATTTTTAACGGATTTATATAAACTGCCTTTCTCGTGCCACAAAATCAGGTTTCAAGTTTTCTATCCTTCGGTTTCAAGAGTTGTCAGACACTCGACGTGACGTTTTTATGGTTACTGATAAGGCCAATGTAATTTTATTTATTCTCAAACAACATAAACGTTTTATCATAATTCATTTTGAACACACACACACACACACACACCTAATTTAATTTAATTTAACTACAGGGTTTGTGCGTTTATAAACGATTAACAAAGAATTATTCATAGCCTATCAAAATAATTGTTTGTATTCCTCTGGTTTATTTTTTTTTTATGTAATGGCTAGCATGGCCTAATGGTTAGGGCCTTGACTTGCAACCTGCGGGTTCTAATCGTATTATTGAACTTGTTCGTCCTTTCAACCGTGAGGGCATTATAATACGACGGTCAATACCATTTTTCGTTTGTACAGAATAACCCAAGAGGTGGCGGTGGGTGGTGTTGACTAGCTGCCTTACCTATACTCCATCTCTTCACAATTAGAGACTGCTAGCGCAGTAGCTCTGGGCGAAATTCAACAAAACAAGCAAACAATATTTTTATCCGATTTAGTAAAGTTTTTGATGGTAATTAGTTTGAAGTTAGGCATAATACAAATTTAGACAGATCATAAGCACAGTCTAGTGTTTACCGTGTCTGATTGCAAGTCAGACTACAGTGTTTGATTGTGTAACAATGCTTCTTACACCATTGTTCGGTCCAAAGTTGTAAGATAAGGTGAAAGTATAAGAACGGCTTAATAATCCAATTAGTTCATTTTATTTTTTACAGAGAATAGTGATTGATAATGTGTACTATGTTGCTGTTCTGTCAACGCACATTACGAGAGATAACGAGACTTGGTGATAGAGCCATTTCAGAATAAGGTTTTAGGGTTTGTATTTTTGTATCTATGACAAAGCTACTAAGGCTATCAACAGCTGCCGCACCTAATCGTGAACTAATGACCAGTCACAAATATTCTACCGTCTACGCTAAATGATTGACTGTCACGCTTATAATGCACCCACAGATTGAAGTGCGGGGAACATTTTGTGGTTGTTGTTGTTATTAAGCACAAAGCTATACAATGAACTATCTGTGCTTTGCCCACCACGGGTATCGAACCCCAGTTTTTAGCGTCGGAAACCTGAATACTTACTGCTTAGCTACTGGAGGGGTGGGGGCACGTTTTGTGGTTTCGAACTCGGCTCAACTCGCGCCTTATTAAGTATGGAAGAACATCTTAGAGAAATATATATTAAATATATTTTTATTATTATTATTATTATCCAATCAAATTATACACAATTATTACTAATAAAAAAGGTCAATAAACTTTGAACGGTTAATATTTCATAATTCAATATATGTTTTTTTTTATCGATAGGGGTATATAGCATTGATGAAATCGGGCGAAGTTCCGATGCCTGAAGACTTGAAAAACGGTCGAGATAAAATAGTATTTGGCAATATTGAAGCAATATATGAATGGCATAGAGAGTAAGTTTTTAGGTAGAATAAACTTTTAAACTGCAGTTTGTCAAACAAGTTAGAATGCTTAAAACTCTCGAATATACAAAAACTGACGTTTAAATTGTTTATCAAACTCTTTAACATAATTGGTTACTCTGATATTAAATTGTTTATTGTGATAAATGATACTCACAGGTTCTGTTTACTCTGATATTAAATTGTTTATTGTGATAAATGATACTCACAGGTTCTGAAGTTCGTTTGTTTGTTTTAAACAGAGTAGTAAAGTAGTGATTCTTTTTAAACCTTAAAATTCTGAACTGATCTAGTAAATGTTTGTTTCTAACTTACGCATTTTATAAATTTAAAAAAAAAACAACAATTTTAACAAGATCTGGTATTGCCTCAAAACACAGCAGAGAGAGTAATCGACATCTGAGTTAGTACCTGAATTTGTTCAACTAGAACTGAGTTATAGTTTGTTAAGACATCACAGATTTTGTGTTAAAATACATAATTAGAAACCCGTTCTTTCAGTTTCTTTCTAGGGGAGCTGGAGAAGTGTATAGACGAACCTTGGAGGCTGGGTAGTCTGTTTCGACGCTACGAAAGGAGATTAAATATGTACATTGTATTCTGTCAGAACAAACCCAAATCTGAGTACATCGTTTCGGAACATGGCGATACTTATTTTGAGGTAAGGATAGTTCAACTGTTCTTTTGGATAATGTCAGAAATTAATGTACAGGTTTTGATATTTTTCAGTGGGTTAATAAGTCACTCGGTTTTGAATCCTTTTGTTTCGAGGTTTAATCTTTAAATTAAAAAATAGTTATGTCTGTGTTCCAAGTAGGGTTTATTTTCAGTTGTTACTCAAGTTACCGTTTACTTTGATACTGTTAACATAGACTGTATATTACATCATACTGAGGAAACTGTGTGTTCAGAACAGGCGAAAAAAATCGAAATAACTAGTTTTATTTGTAGAATACGTAATAATTAGTGGGATAATCTGCAATATTGACGGACTTTAGTTTTATTTGTAGAATACGTAATAATTAGTGGGATAATCTGCAATATTGACGGAGTTTTGTTTAGTTTTATTTGTAGAATACGTAATAATTAGTGGATAATCTGCAATATTGACGGAGTTTTGTTTAGTTTTATTTGTAGAATACGTAATAATTAGTGGGATAATCTGCAATATTGACGGAGTTTTGTTTAGTTTTATTTGTAGAATATATAATAATTAGTGGGATAATCTGCAATATTGACGGAGTTTTGTTTAGTTTTATTTGTAGAATATGTAATAATTAGTGGGATAATCTGCAATATTGACGGAGTTTTGTTTAGTTTTATTTGTAGAATATGTAATAATTAGTGGGATAATCTGCAATATTGACGGAGTTTAGTTTTATTTGTAGAATACGTAATAATTAGTGGGATAAGCTACAATATTGACGGACTTTTGTTTTATTTGTATAATACGTAATAATTAGTGGGATAAGCTACAATATTGACGGACTTTAGTTTTATTTGTATAATACGTAATAATTAGTAGATAATCTGCAATATTGACGGACTTTTGTTTAGTTTTATTTGTAGAATACGTAATAATTAGTGGATAAGCTGCAATATTGACGGACTTTAGTTTAAATGTTTTGTGGAATTCATATTTTATGTATTAAAAGTTCAAAATCAATCACATTGTGGATCTTCAAGAAATGTGGTGGTTTAGAAAAATGTGTTTATAAACGTTGATGGAGTCCACCTGATCCCTCATCGACTATTCTAAAATAAAATTATATACCAAACATAGATTTAGCAAACACGTCTGTTATTCTGATCGTGTTTTTAAAATCAGCACAACTTTGCCTGAGAAGGTTTTTTTGGTTGTTGTTGTTGTTTTTTTCCACCAGGGAAATGTAACTAATAATCTTTAATAACCAACATGGCGGAATACACCACTTATTGGAAATTTCTAATTTTATTCTGTTTACAATAGCCTCTGAAGACGGATAAATTTAAATATTGTACCTTTGAAAGAGAGATATTTCTTGAATAGGATCCACTTCATAAACCTTATATTCAATTCACAGAAACTTTCTGCGGGTATAAATATGTTCTACTAAAGTTTTGAATTTAGATGTTCTTGTTAGACACTTTATTCAACTTTCACAGACTGTTAAAAGTAGGTAAATTCTTAAATCTTGGATTCTGTTTACAGTAATACCTGGATAAAAGTAACTTGTTAAATTCTATATTTTCTCTTCACAAGATGAAAATAGGCTTGTTAAATCTTGGATTCTGTTTACAGTAATACCTGGATAAAAGTAACTTGTTAAATTCTATATTTTCTCTTCACAAGATAAAAATAGGCTTGTTAAATCTTGGATTCTATTAACTTGTTAAATTCTATATTTTCTCTTCACAAGATGAAAATAGGCTTGTTAAATCTTGGATTCTGTTTACAGTAATACCTGGATAAAAGTAACTTGTTACATTCTATATTTTTCTCTTCACAAGATGAAAATAGGCTTGTTAAATCTTGGATTCTGTTTACAGAGATATTTAGAGTAGGTACGTATATTAAATGTTTTATTCCAATAACAAAAACCGTCTTATGCTGGAATTATTGTTAATTATAGTATTGTGTGGTGAGGATATTTTGTACGTAGGACGATTTTGTAAACGAGTAGATTTGGTTATTTTATTAAACAGTGGTTATATTTTAAACTGAATTAACTTTATCTTCGTTTACGTCCTCTTGTGTGAGAACTGGCTTATTAAACCATGTAATATGTTTATAAAAAAAAACACTTGGATGTTTATAAATTTCTTATAACCGGTATTTAATTTTAAAGAACTTTCTTACAATAGATGTATCTTTTAGATCTTTAATATTCATTTATATCTGGATATGGATATATATATTTTTAAATTTGTACTCCATTTATTGGAATATCCGAATCCAAATAGAAATTTTGAATCTTACACTCTGTTCACTACCACTTCTGAATGGGAATTACTTTCTTAAGTATTGTACACTGCTTATATGATATGAAATATATCGAATCTTTAGAAACTGAAAGCTGTTGTAGTTATTCGTAAATTCCTTTGAGACGAGGTTTGTCTTTGATTCATAGGAACTTCGACAAAAACTTGGCCACAAGTTGCAGCTCACTGACTTGCTAATTAAACCTGTTCAGCGAATAATGAAATATCAACTTTTGCTCAAGGTAAAGTGTCCTTACCTTTACTTGACTATGTAGAATTAATATATAACTTCTTCAGAAACGTGTAGTCTACAATTAACTCATCCTTGTCTGTCAACACCTAGTTCTGAGTTACAAAACAGAGATGTATTAGAAAGGTTTTCAAAGTTGGATTATATACAATCATATTTCACAAGTGAATTGGATATAACGAATTAAAGCCGTTTAGCTCTATTTTATTTTATTTTTCGACCACTTATGATTCTTTAGGATATTCTGAAATGTACCGAGAAAGCCGGGTTGGAAGAAGAAGTAGGGGATCTCAGAAAAGCCGTCCAAATCATGCATGTTGTGCCAAAAGCTGCCAATGACATGATGAAAGTAGGGCGACTACATGGTTTTCAAGTAAGTCATTAGGCTTAGAGAAGTGCTTTTAACCGTTCAACAAACTTAATTAATTGTTGTGGTGCTTGTTACAGAAGGGTCAACATGTTCAACAAACTTAATTAACAACAGTGTTGTGGTGCTTGTTACAGAAGGGTCAACATGTTCAACAAACTTAATTAACAACAGTGTTGTGGTGCTTGTTACAGAAGGGTCAACATGTTCAACAAACTTAATTAACGACAGTGTTGTGGTGCTTGTTACAGAAGGGTCAACATGTTCAACAAACTTAATTAACGACAGTGTTGTGGTGCTTGTTACAGAAGGGTCAACATGTTCAACAAACTTAATTAACGACATT